AAGACCGAGGCAAAAAAGTCATTGAGTACCTCCGCCTTCTCCATGTCCTCGGTATCCAGGTCTCCCATTTCATTCCTGAGAGGGCCCACATTTTACCTAGTCTTCCTTTTATCCCTGACATACCTGTAGAATCTTTTCTTCTTGCCCTTGATGTCCCTGGCCAGATTTAGTTTTATCTGGGCTTTAGCTTTCCTCACCTGATCCCTGGCTGCTCAGACAATTTCTCTGTATTCCTCCCAGGCTACCTGTCCTTGCTTCCACCCTCTGTAGGCTTCCTTTTTGTGTTGGAGTTTGCCCAGGAGCTCCTTGTTCATCCATGCAGGCCTCCTGGCGTTTTTGCCTGACTTCCTCTTTGTTGGGATGCATCGCTCCTGAGCTTGAAAGAGGTGATCCTTGAATATTACCCAGCTTTCTTGGGCCCCTCTTCCCTCCAGGGCTTTGTCCCATGGCACTCTACCAAGCAGATCCCTGAAGAGGCCAAAGTCTGCTCTCCTGAAGTCCAGGGCAGTGAGCTTGCTGTGCACCCTCCTCCTCGGTGCCCTAAGGATCTTGAACTCCACCATTCCGTGGTCACTGCAGCCCAGGCTGTCCTTGAGCTTCACATTCCCCACCAGCCCCTCCTTGTTGGAAAGAAAAACGTCCAGCATAACACTTCTCCTCATTGGCTCCTCTACCACTTGGAGAAGGAAGTTGTCATCGACACATTCCAGGAACCTCCCGGATTGCTTATGCCCTGCCGAGTTGTCCCTCCTACAGATGTCAGGGTGGTTGAAGTCCCCCATGAGGACCAGGGCTTGTGAGCATGAGGCTGCTCCGGTCTGTCTATAGAGGGCCTCATCTGCTCGGTCTTCCTGGTCAGGTGGCCTGTAGCAGACCCCCGCCATAATGTCACCTGTGTATCCTGTGAGCTCTGTTCTGAGCCTTTGCTCTGACTACTTAGTTCCTGAGTGGACTGAATATAATCTTGAATAGTGAAATTCCACATTTCTAACTGAATAACTCTGCTCCTGGAGAAGGCAATGAAGAACCTTCTTGGCATCTGCAGGTGTAGGATTAAATTTGAAATACCAGAAGACAGATCTAACGCAAAGCAGTAAATATAAATATAAATATATATTTAAATACATAAATACATATTATTTTATAAATATAAATAATTTTTTTTTTTATATAACGCATTACCTTTTTATTCTGCTAGGATAACAGGGGTTGGTGTCACTGCAGAGATGTGTATTTTAGAGGGGATTACAATTTTTCAGAATATGTAGCAAGTAAACAACAATAAATGTTATTTAAATATGCTTTGAAGCTTTCAGTTAAAGAGGCAAGATACATAGGTATGAATTAGATGTGAAGAAAAAGTCTCTGTTTAAATATTTTGTCTTTGTATTTTGCAAGGATCCTTGTCACAAAGTCAACTGCGGAATGTCATTAGACCTGCCATTTTACAACCCCCACAAACCCTGACCTGTCCTGAAAATCCTGTAGTATTTCTAGTAACTAAGAAAGAAGCACGTGTTCAGGTAAAACGAAAAGTAATTTTACTGGCTAATGTATGTTTGCAGCTCAAATTAAAAACAGTGCTGTTTTAAAGCCGTTAACTATTCCACTGCACGGTTTTCAAGAAAGTTCCCATATCAGTTTCAGTGGAATTGATGGATCACTGACATGGTGTGAACTGTTAAACTCGTGCTGACTGTGTTTGAAAAAACATCTCTTCTCTGCAGGCTGTCTCAACTTTCAGATATCAGGGTTCTGTGGGCAAATCAGCTTTGGGGGTCTTCGCGTTTTATTTAGAAAGTAACATTTTAGCATTTTGATTAAGGGAACTGACTTAGTACACAGCTGGAGGAAGCTCACATATATATCCCTCAGTGACTCTGGACTTCTAGCAGATCTGTTCATAGCAGAAAATAAGCTTGATCTAATTAATTCATCTGGTTTTATTATTCCTAGCTATCTGAAGATAGCTCTTATTCCTCAGCTGAGAATTCAGTAAGTTCCAAAACAGCAGCGAGGTCATCTACTACCATGAATCCTTCTAGCTCTAAAACAACACAGTAAGTTTTTATTTATTATATTTCTACACCATTTTGTCACTTGGCGTATGGCATGCCCTTTTGTCCTACATGGTACTAAGCCCATGCTATCTACACCCACACAGTGTTCACTGGTGTTTGTGTGTGGTGCCAGGATTTGTGGGTACTGACATGAGCTGCATACACCATAAGAAATGGACTCCTGCCGGGAATTAGTCTCTGTGGGACAGTTTGTTTCTCATTAGCAACCCCCAAGCCAGAAACTATTTTGGTTTGCCACCTCATGCAGCTTTGGCAGTTCAAAATATGTCCCGGTTTTGAATGTTGACAGTCATCTTTGTGTCCCTTTGGAGAACTCTCTTCTGATTGCACAGCTGCTGCATCTCATAAACAGATGCAGAGTAACTCCGGAATTACCAAAATATGTCAGCATATTGGACACAGGAGACATGAAGAAAACCATACAGGATTGATGTGGAGTACAAGGTGAATGCTGCAACTGATGCTCTACTTCCGTGCACATGCCAGAATTTCTGGGCTGAACAACTAGCTGTGATGATTGTGATAGGGTGGCATCCTTGTGCAGACATGGGTTGACCAGCACGGACTTCAGAATTTCTGCATGAGGAAGCTGACTTCCTTGGACTAGGATGCTGCCCCATGCCCTTGCCTCTGTATATGACTGAAAGAGCTCACACTGGTGCAAAAGTGGGCTATCACCTCTCTCTGGAGACTGGGTCATGAAAATGTTAGGTCTGTGGTTAGCCAGCAGGCTATCTTGTGGGTATTAATACTGCTTGCTGATGGTTGATGAGTGTTACTTACCTGGAAGTTGTGAGCATCAGGAATACATCTGAGATCAATTATGACATTTCATCCTCCTGAGAGGATGACATTTGAAAATTCTTAGGGCCACAGGTAAACACATTTGTGACGTTGCCTCCTTTCCCCTTCCCACCCAAAGAAGGCAGAGAACATGTTAACTGCAAAGGAGTCTCTTCCAGTCTTCTTCAGGGCTGGATGGGCCACAGATAAAGGTTCCTGCACACAACATTTGGGATGCACAGTGCCGGGGTTCTGAGGAGATAAGGGATTTTTAGATGCACAGACAACTTAGATTCTTAATGCTTATCAACAAGGAGAGCATCATCAGAGGGCAGATGCTCACTGTGATTTTGGAAGAGCCAGCCTGTCCTTTTCTATCACAATTAATGCTGTGATGATGCCCTCTGAGGACAACATGGAGCCGTGCAGCACGCTGGATTTTTAGCAGATTCAGAATGATGGTAATGTGCATACTGGGAAAGCTGAAGGGAAGACGGTACTGACATCAGAATCAGTTGGTATCGATACTCCAAGTCTATTTACCTTCTGTCACCTGTACAATATCTAGGAAAAGATAGGTGAGTGGTTTTCTCTTGTGAAGTAGGTGGATAGAGAAACCCAATGCAGTGTTTCAGTGCTGACAAGTTACAAGACTTAAAAGTGCTTATGGTATTTCTTTTCCTTTTCTTTTTTAGAAGAGGAATTGCTAATCTGCTTGGGGTATTTGTGCCTCATTAATTCTGTATATTGCAATTGTGGTAAATGTTGGTTTATCTGACGTTGAAAACTAATTTAAATACAACTAGGTGCTTACTGCTTTTCTGAGATTGCAGGGGAGTGTAAGTGCCATTCTTCTGATCCGTATTAAGGGACTGATGCTTTAAAATACTGCAGTAAAATCTTTTTGGCATAGCCGTTTTCTCATAGATAACTTGACAACAAGTATTCAAAGGAACAACTTTATTAAGCTCCGTGTACATGCTAAACTATAGTGAACATTGCAGCCAGACCTGCTTATTGCTAAGAAAAGGGTTTTTTAGATTTGTTTTTAATTATCAATCAAGGTGTAATTATTGACATTTATCTACGAAAAATAAAATGCAGAGAGACTCAACAGCAGGGATTGCTGCTGCCTGCAAACGTCCCTCTTACTTTCCCTCCTCTTCCACCTCTTCTTTATGTGATACAGTTCTGTATAGAGATGAATGAAAACGGTTTGTTAGCCCTCTGCAGTTGCTGCAGCTGTCCACATCCCAGGAAACCACCAACGGTTCCATTTCCTGAACTGGCTGTAGTAATGAACTGAAAAGGAGAAATCTGCAGTTTCTCGAGTCTGAGTAAAAGCTTGGAAAAGGAGATTGTGTCGTAAGTGACAGAAATCTAATGCTGGGAAAATGCAGGCTTCTGGTCCTGTATTCAGCTTGGCACAAGGATTTGCTTGGCAAACTGAAAGGGTTCAAGGCCAGCACTGGACCTGGCTGCTACTCAGACCCTTCTGGACACTCTGAGAAGGACAGTACCTGGATCTACTCCCTTTCCATAGTCCCTTTCCAGTATCTTATCCACATTTTTCCTTCTCCCATTCTTCCTTTTTAGTGGTCATTCCCCAAATTCAGTGCCTCTGTTTTGCATCTCCGTGGCAATGTCATCCCTGGCACACTTTGTTCTTGTCCTGCAGCAACATAAGGGTAATGAGGTTTTAATAAGACTTCAAGGCTGGCACTTCCAGTTAACTGTCTGGAAAAAGAAAGATCCTGCACTGATTACTTTTTCCTTACATTTCTGAAAATAATCAAGAGCCATTTCCCACAATATTTCTTTGAGCCAAGGCTCTAGTTTCTGGTTTTTAGCTCTACTGGAGTGCTATCCTTATGAAATGGCTACTGGCGCAGCCTAGAAGTAGCAGATGAAATTTCAGGATGGAAATTGATCACAGTTCAGTGAATTTTAGTGGGGAATTTTCTTAAGGATAAGAAACTCATTAGTTTATACACACTTCAGATGCCTTGTTCATAGTCCAAAACATGGATATGAAAGGCTTCAAGGCTGAAAAGAGACGGATTTTCTGATTTCTCTTTCTTATTTGCTCTTAGTCTTAGCAACATATGAAAGCATGAGAATGTTAAGGAATATTTTTTTCCTTAGGTGTAAAACGGAGATAGCTTGTACTTGGGAATTCCTTCATCCTATGTGAAGAGATTTCAAGCACACTGTAGTTGTGAACACAGAAACTAAGTTTTAGAGGCAATCATCAAAGTTCTGGCAACAAACCCAGCTTATTAATAGGAATATCCTCTGCATGACATATGTGCCGTTAAGCCTTCCCAAGGGTGATAAATGATCTGGAAGAGCAGATAAGTGGTGCTGAAGTATGCAGTTTGTGACAGAACATCAGATCATCTTCCTGCCAAGTCGTCCTTCTGGAGCAGAAAGAGACAAGAACTTGGATGGTTTTGCCTTTGACAGCAAGAGATGCAGTGATTAAGCTCTACAGGAAGCATGAACAACCTATAAGCCTTTTGTAAAAAAAAAAAACCAAAAAACAAACGAAACCAAAACCCAGCAGCAGGAACAACTTCCATGCAAAGAAGTTTATGAGGACTTTTCTAGTGACTTCTATAAAAAATGGATCCTGTTATTTAAAGTGGCTATGTAATTAGCAGGTCGAATCACAACTCTACTTATATTAGAATATTCTTGAAAGTAATCCAGAAGTAACATACTTTTTACAAGTTGTGACTATGTCACTATTTAAAAACACATTCACCACCTTCTCTTAAAACCTCCTGAGAGGCGAGAGGCTAACTGAGAGTAGTTAAACTCAGGGTGGCAATGCAAAAAAACCAAACAAACAATGTTTTTGATCTGGAAAACCTGAGACACTACGAAGGAGAAAGGGACAGAAGAGAAGAAGGGCAAGCGTTGTTTTAATGTAGCTTCTGCACACTCCAGATCCTAAACATGAAGTGATTTATCTACTGCATGAAATTTTCTCCCAGATCTGTATCCCCAAACTATAGTTGGCCAGTGCCAAAGGATTGCAAGTATTTAGTTTTCTTCGCTTCTCATTTTAAGTATATCTATGGAACAGGTAATTGAAAAATGGGAAGAAGATCTTTCCTGTTTTAGTTATACCTCATCATAAGCCATCTGCTGTCACACCTTTACATTTGTGCAGTATTTATGTGAATTCAAAGTGTGTGCATTAGAACACACCGGCTCTCTGCCTTTCCAGGATGTTAGGTGGATGACCAAGGAGTGCCTGTAAGGCACTGGGGAGTACGTTACTCTGAAGCGTACAAGAGCTGCACCAATACGAAGGGATAATTTTTACTTGTTGGTAGTCTTTTAGTGGAGCAAAAGGAAACAGGGAAACAAATGTAACTCATTAAAGTTTCTGGAGTAAGACACTTCCCTGAGGAGGAGGAGAAGGAGGCATGTTGTTTTGCTTCTTGTTCTTTGCTTTTAAGGAACATCCTCACTAATCTTCATGAAATACAGTGTGATGCTCTCTGTTCCTTTTATGAAATGTTATGTAGAGAATATTCTCAGATTCTCTTAAAGAATTTGTCTGATTACTTAAGTGGTAATTTTTTGTTTGTCTTTAATGTAAGGTATGCTAAAGTAAATGCATGAACTTTTTATATTCTTTACAAAGTTCTAAATAGTTCTAAATCCATTCTTATGTTCTTTTGTTCCCACAGAAGTCAGTTGTTTGAAGACAGAAGTGTACAAAACAGCAGCAATTCTGATTTTGTGTTTGGAGAAAACATGGTTGAGAGAGTTTTGGTAAGATGTGTAAATGCTGGCAGACTTTTTATCAAGGTTAAGGTACTTATAAATATAATTTTTTCAGAGATTGATCCTTTTCAGCTCCTCCTGCTCTTTTAAAGATGTGAGTAAATATGATTCCAATGACTGTTGAGGAGAAAATATCTCAGTATTTGCTGTAGGAGGGATAGGCATCCCTATCTTCCCCATCCTAGATAATTACTCTAATTACTAACCCATACCGGTATGCACCACTTCTCTTTTGCTCATTTTTTGACCTGAAAAAGCGGTTTTTTATATATTCCATGTGAAGTGGGACAGCCACAATGGAAGATAAAAGAATGTTGTCCCCACCACTCTAATAGTTTCCATCATAACTGTTAGGAGATGGGAGAAATTAGTACGAGGGGAAAATTGAACACCCATCCTAGATACTGTCCAACTGTATTGTGCATGCTGTGAGACAGCTTAATGGATCAAGTCCTGAAGGAAACTCAGACAAAAAGGTGGTTCCCAAGCTGAGGACTGCACCATTTAAAATGGAATTGAAATTCAGTTTCTAGTAGAAGTAGAATGAAAAACAGTATGCATATCTGCCAGTGAAAACGCTTGGCAACCATAGGTCTGGGTTATGACTTCTGACCAGGATTTAGTTATAAGGTAGGAGCTGAGCCACTGGGCATTGTCAGGGGCCAGAAGCATTTATTTAGATATGCCTAAGAAACTTTATCTGCAAAACCTGAAGGTCATGGAAATTTTTAATTCCTCTGAGGTTAAGTTTGTGGTGTCTGGGAATTTTGAACTATTCTTCTGGGGCTTAAGTGCTTAAACTGGAAATTAGCTGGTACTTAAACATCTAAGTCGTTCAGTGGATTTAAATCTAGTCCAGGATCCATACAAAGAGGCTATTCTTCTTGGTGGAAAAATGATGCACTGATTTTATGATAATAAAATTACTTCCACTAGAGACTGAAATTGTATCATCTGGGTCAGTTTTTACTCTTCAGATATTACAACTGCTAATCTTCAGCTTAGCATGCATTAAATGATTCAATGTTCTGTTTGATACGAAGTAGCACAGCCATTTTATTTAAATAGGAATTCTTATTTCCCCTGTTTCTTTCTAGAGTCCTGAAAAGCATCCCAAACCGTGTAATGAAGGTGATTCATACAAAGGAGAAATAAGATCGATGTACATAGAATCTTTTCCTGTCAGTCCACAAGCAAGTAAGCATACTCAGCAAACAAGTACAGTTATCTTTGTTACTATATATTTCTCTGTATCTTAGAGGATGTCAAATGAGTGGTGGTCAATAATTTTCATCTATTTTCAAGTTACCCAGTCACTAGTACACTTGCAGTATGTGTCAAAATCTGTGTTCGGAAAGCAGCTCCAGTTTGGTTTATGACATTTGAACTGGACTAACTTCAGAATGAATAATCTAGTTATTCAGGAAAGGATAGAGTTTTACGGATTATTATTAATTACAGAATATTATTATTTATTATTTGAAAAAAAGGCAGTGAACTTTGTGAATGCCTTTCGGACCGCATCTTTGAACTACAATTTTAAGCTGTTGGCCGCTTGTATTTTGTGACTGCTCATATAAATTACTTTGCCATATTTGTATCCTAATTGTAGGATTGAAACTTCGACACAGACAGATTTCAGGGGTTGTCTGTGACTCTGGCATGAGCTTTTCTGCTAGGCAAGCCACATAAACTTAGGCTGTCAGGGAATCCCAAGTAGGCCCCTATCTTGAGCCCTCTTGCTAAATTTTGCACCCCTCTTTACTAATGGAAGTATTGGATCCTCTTACTTTGTATGAATGTTCTTACAAGTAAAAAAAAAATAAAATTAAAGCCTATGGAAAATGTATCTAGATCATGCAAATATACAAAATTTTGTAACAATGTTGTTCCTTTCAAATCTTGTCCTTTGGTGTTCCTGTCAAGTATTCATTGTATATGTGTTACTATTCTGAATATTGGGACAAGTGTCTTTCGTTATTTATTAATCTGCACAGCAATATGACAGACCAGTTTCATTTGGAAAATCAACTTCTAATTATTTAGGGCTTGTTTCTGCAAATTGTCCCTTGGGGCAAACCTCTGCAACTGTGGAGAGCCCTGTTCAATTAAAAATGAGCCTAAACAGATGAGATATTTTGCGGTATTCCAGCCTTTTTCTCTTCTATTTACTGCTTTAGCCAAAAACTTACTAATAACACTAAATAATACTAGACGTCACAAGGATTACTGAAGTCACAGGCCATCCTATGTGCTAGTTTTGTTGTCCTGAAAACATTGCCTGTAG